TTATTAAACAGAAAAGAAAGAGAGCACATTTTTCTTCTCGAAGCATCAGTTGTGTGATTTTATTTCATTTCATTTATTTATTTATTCATTTATTTTGAGACAGAGTATCAACCTGTAGCCCTGGTAGAGTGCCATGGCATCATAGCTCACAGCAACCTCCAACTCTTGGGCTCAATCGATCTTTTTGCCTCAGTTTTTCTATTTTTACTAGAGACGGGGGTCTCGCTTTTTTGCTCAGGTTGGTCTCAAACTTGTGAACTCAAGCAATCCACCCACCTAGGCCTCCCAGAGTGCTAGGACGATTACAGGGCTGAATTACTGAGCTCAGCCAAGAGTTTATGTAGTAAGACTCTCTAATCATTGGCCAGGCACAGTGGCTCACGCCTGTAATCGTAGCACTCTGGGAGGCCCAGGCAGGAGGATTGTTTGAGCTCAGGAGTTTGAGACCAGCCTGAACAAGAGGGAGACCTTGTCTCTAATAAAAATAGAAAAATTAAACTCAGTGCCTGTCGCTCAGCAACTAGGGTGCCAGCCACATACACTGGGCCTGCCAAACAATGACAACTACCAAAAAAAAAAAAAAAAAATAGCCAAGCACTGTGGCAGGCACCTACAGTCCCAGCCTCTCGGGAGGCTGAGGCAAGAGAATCACTTAAGCCCAAGAGTTTGAGGTTGCTGTGAGCTGTGAATTTTTAAAATAGTATTTCAGGGAAGCTGAGGCTGGTGGGTAGCTTGAGCTCAGGAGTTTGAGACCACTCTCAAACTACAGCCACAGCACTCTGAGTGCCCATAGCTCAGTGGGTAGGGCGCTGGCCACATATACCAAGGCTGGCAGGTTTGAACCTGGCCTGATAAAAAACGACAACTACAAAAAAATAGCTTGGCATTGTGGCGGGCACTTGTAGTCCCAGCTACTCGGGAGGCTGAAGCAAGAGAATCACTTTTTCTTATGCCCAAGAGTTTGAGGTTGCTGTGAGCTGTGATGCCATAGCACTCTACTGAGTGCAACATAGTAAGACTCTGTCTCCAAGAAAAAAAAATAGTATTTCATAGCTGTATTTGGCAATATTGGCAATAAGACATTCAAATACATAAAATGTGTACTTTATCAACTATACTGTATATGAAATAACTTTTTACCATGAATATCTTCTATCACCAAGTAACATTAAGGTTCATATTTTCCATTCTTACTGAATAAATGAAGTAACATCAAATCCAGTAATACAGGTCAAAATTTATTCTGAAGATACCAGGAGACAAGTTATTCATTTTTTTAAAAAGATATGAACACTTATAAAATCATGGAACATTTCTTACATATTCATATATCAAATCATGGACTAATAATAATTTAAATGGAAAACTGACCTATCTCATCACCATCAGTAAACATAGTTTGCTCCACATACCAGATTTTCTTCAATACAGCAGAACTTTCTCTCTGAAGTGGCTTTCTTAAAAATAACTTTTTTTCTGCTAAGGATAATGACCAGGTATTACATATATGTAATAAAAAGGCTTTTTTTTTTTTTGGAGACAAGAGTCTCATTTTGTTGCTCTCGGTAGAGTGCTGTGGCATTGCAACTCACAGCAACCTCACTCTTGGGCTTAAGTGATTCTTTGGCCTCAACCTCCCTAGTAGCTGGGACTACAGGCGTCCAGAACACCTGGCTATTTTTAGAGATGGGGTCTTGCTCTGGCTCAGACTGGTCTCAAACTCTTGAGCTCAAACTACCCACCAACCTCAGCTTCCCAGAGTGTTGGGATTACGGGCTGGAGCCAACAAAGCCTATCTCTTTAACCTCATATATAACTACCTCAAGTATGACTGCCCACTTTTTCATACACAAATTGGAAAAGATGTCAAATGAATGTTGAGGATGATATCTTAGTGTCATAACTGCTCTACACTGAAATTAGTAAATTGTATATGCCCTGGCGGGGTTCAAACCCGCCAGCCCCGGTGCATGTGGCTGGCACCGTAACCACTGAGCTATGGGCACTGAACCCATATTTAAGTTTTATTTTTTTTGAGACAAGAGTCTCAAGCTGTCACCCTGGGTAGAGTGTGGTGGCGTCACAGCTCACAGCAACCTCAAACTCTTGGGCTTAAGATAAGGCAATTCTCTTGCCGCAACCTCCCAAGTAGCTGGGACCACAGGCACCAGCCACAATGCCTGGCTATTTTTGTTGTTTTTTAGCTGGCCTGGGCTAGGTTTGAACCTGCCAGCCTTGGTGTATGTGGCCAGCGCCCTACCCACTGAACTACAGCTGCCACCCTAATATTTATGTTTTAAATTCAGCTAATTACACAGATACTTTACCTATGTATCAACTATCTGAATATTTCAAATCTTTCAATGTAAGTACTGATTTTCATTAATGACTAGGTGCTGTGTAGTTTGTATACTAAATGGTAACATATTTCAAGCAAGCCAATCTTTAATCTAAAAGTGTAATGTGTGCTCATAATGAAAACTGGCCCAAAAGAGAGAAAAGGTCTGCTTATAAAGATGCGTAACACTACAAGGCAGTATGTTGTATTGGCCAAGAAAATCTTTTACTTTTTTTTTTTTTTTGAGATGGAGTCTTCTATGTTGCCCTTGGTAGAGTGCGGTGGTGTCACAGCTCACAGCAACCTCAAATGCTTAGGCTTAAATGATTATCTTGCCTCAGACTCCCAAGTAGCTGGCAATACAGGCTCCCACCACAAAGCCCAGGTTTTGTTGTTGTCATAGTTGTTTGGCAGGCACAGGCTGGGTTGGAACCCACCAGCCCCGGGTACATGTGGCTGGCGCCCTAACCATTGAGTAGGGGCGCCAAGCCCTTTTACTTAATCTTTAAATACTTCAAAACAAATTTATTAAGGCCAAATTTTTTACTATCCACTTGCAATTGTACATTGGAAAGACTTTTCTCTGTCTTCCCAATGTGGGTCTGGTATGTATCTGGGAGTCACTTTGTGTCTGTAATTGATGGGCAAATTATATATGCTGTATGTGTATTTCTATACTTCTTTTTTATGGTCAATCTAGTTAGATCACTTGTTGACACATACTCAGAGAATGTAATTATAAATTATGGAAAAATAAAGCTTATATTGTTAGTAAGGAATATTATTGCCACTTTATATGAAAAAAATTACATAGAAATGAAATGTATTAAATAAACTATTAGCATGTATGATGTAAGAATTAGCCAGATTGGCACTTTTTACTCGCCAACCTGGCTAATTGTAGGCATTCACTGAGATTACTTAATCATCACAAAATTGCCAAGTAATTAATACTTGCCATGAATCTTATAAACTGTAGATGAGCTTATACAACCAAAATAATTTTTCACAATTTTGAGTATTTTTAAAAAACTTTGTTTAATACATTAGGAAACTATTATGGTTTTATAAATTTAGAATGCAGGGCCAGTCTTTAAGCCTATTTTATGTAATAGGAGACTGCTGGTAAATTTTTGGTCAAAAAAAAAAAAAAAATTTTTTTTTTTTTGAGAGAGTCTCAAGCTGTCACCCCTGGGTAGAGTGCCCTAGCATTACAGCTCATAGCAACCTCCAACTCCTGAGCTCAAGTGAGTCTCCTGCCTCAGCCTCCCAAGTAGTTGGGATCACAGGCGCCTGCCACAAGGCCCAGCTAGTTTTTGGTTGCAGCCGTCATTGTTGTTTGGCAGGCCAGGGCTGATTCGAACCCGCCACCTTAGGTGTATGTGGCTGGCGCCTTAGCCACTTGAGCCACAGGCGCTGAGCCTGGTCAAAAAATATTAAACACACTCTGGGAGGCTGAGGGGAATGGACTGTCCTGAGCTCACAGGTTTGAGATGAGCAAAAGTGAGATCCCGTCTCTAAAAATACCCGGGCGTTGTGGTGGGTGCCTGTAATCCCAGCTACTTGGGAGGCTGAGGCAAGAGAATCGCTTGAGCCCAACAGTTTGAAGTTGCTGTGAACTATGATTTCACAGCACTCTACTGAGGGTGACAAAGAGAAAAAAGAAGAAAACAAAGAAGAAGAAATGTTAAGCAGCACAGACATTAGAGATAGTGGAAAGTTTTATTTTTTTTACTCTCAGTCAAACACTCTCTCTTCTGAAAAAGACAAAAGCATGCACATTAACATGGATGGCATTCTATAAAGAAAAATTAAGTGATAACTAAGTCATAAATCAACAATAACAGGACAAACCAAAGTATAAATGAGTGGTGAAAAGATTTACAGGTAGGCATAGGGCTTTTAATTTTAGAAAATAATTCAAGTCAATATCAATACATGTTAAGGAGAAAGAAGTTTCAATTTTCCAACATTTTGATACAAAACTTTTTTGACTACCATGTTTTAGACCTTTTGTGAGAAGAATTTAAGTCGTAAGAAACATGACATTCAAGTGATCTTACTTTGTCTTGTTAAAATGAGTCATAAGCCACATAATTCCAGTGGTACTGCCTCTTAAAATTTAAATTTGGAGCATATCCATGATATTCAAAATAAGTTCCAAAATTTACATTTATTTTGACCCTAGTTAGAAATAAATCCTAAATTTAGGATTGTTAAAAAATGTTATTTAACAAAGATAGGGGATTTAAATTTTGCTTTACAGGCGAGAGAAAATTACTTTTCCTAAGTTTTATGCACGCCCCACTTGTAATGAGCCCAGCTGCATCCTGAGTGTGTATGAATGTATACACATATACATACTAGGGACACCACAAAACTCTTCAAATGTGTTGTTTGAAATGGCTTATTCTTTAGTTTTGGAGGAACAGTGTAACACAGTCAGACAAAATTTCTCTTAATTTTTTGTTTATCATTATTCAAGTGTTATATTTCATCTGGGTCACTGACTCACGGGTCATTATGAAAGTTTAGAGATACACAAAAATCATGAAATGTAAAATCCACCTGGTTAGAAACAAATGAAGCCTTCCCAGCAACACTAATAAGCTGAGCAAGTTAAACTTGCACAGATAAATCAGAAAGGATGCTATCAACTGTGTTTCTTGGATGTGAATAATGGATCTTAACAGTCTATCTCAAAACTTCTGTAGCGACCTACATATAATTCTGCAACAAAAATTCACTAGCAGTAAGCAGAAATGTTAGCTTAAACAGGCAATCAAGTTTAAATTATAGCATAAAAACAGAGCAGATTACACTTAAAAAGTGTCTTCTTCCATAGGAAATATTGTCTCATGACTGAAAATTGTGTGATTTGGTTCTTGGAACTCGGCTCTTGTTCTGAGGTGGTCCATATTACTGTGTAGCTCCATTGCAAATAATGGGAATGATGGATAGGAATAACCTCAGACTGCAGTGTAGCAAAAAAAAAAAAAAAAGAAGAAGAAGAAGAAAATAATGGGAAGGAAACAAATTCCCTCAGGCTTGAGGAGTTAGGTCTGTATTTCACTGGCTTGAGGAGGTGAAATTTCTTGACACAGATAAACGCAAAATGCCTCCAGAGCAGCTGCTGAAGCTCCCTCACAAGGGCTGAGTTTAGACAGTTCAACTTTGACCCTGGCTGGCTTTTCTTCCCTGCAAGTCGGTGTGCAAGCCGCAGAGCAGCACCACTGATGAGAATCCAGAGGAGAAGGACTAGAACACAGTGGAACTCCACCTTGGTGACATACAAGTGACTTCTGAAAGAAATATTTTGCTAAATCAAAGAAAAGTGGGTGAAAGGCACATGCTAGTAAATCTAGTCGGCTCCCATCACCTCGAATACCTGTGAACTCAGGGGGTCCAACAAAGATTCACACTGATTTGATGTAACATAAAAAGAAAACCTTAATGTTTTCAAGCACTTATGGCACTGATGTTGGGAAGTACTTAGAGTAGCTTAAATATTTAAAAGGCTAGGCAATTTAAAGTTCTGCTACAATGAATCAGGCAAGATTTTAACTTGAACTTCTCATATTTTATACATTATTCTTGTGTAGAGTACAGGGTGAGCAAATTAAGCAATTTCAATAAATATTAGAAATGTTATTTTGGAAATATAAAATGAGTAAAACCAGCTAATACAATAAAAACATGCACTAAACAGAGCTTTCTCTCATGAACATTTTTTGCCTTTTTCTTTAAACATTTCAATACTTAAATACATCTTCTTTCATTGACTTGCAGAAATTAAGCAAAAAGTGAAATATTGCCTAGCTGTAAGATACTAAATACCTCAGTGATAAAAGTTTAGAGCTGCCAAGTTATAACAAATTAAAAATAACAAATATAGTGAAATATGTTGCAAATTAATGTTAAAAAATACAGCCATCTGAGTTACAAAACAGTAACAAATTATACAATCCTACTAGGCTTCTGAAGTTGTCATTAGTTCATGGGAAATGTGAAGAACAGCAGAAATTCTGTTTAGCTTTTTATCCTTTCCGGGAGCTCCAGAGCTAAAGTTACAAAACCATGCCCAAGACCAACTGCATAGTGGCTATAGTCACAAATTCTATTTTTATCCAATGTTCAATCAACAAGGCTTTATTTACACTTCCAGGAAACAATTTGATATAATGTGTAGGTGCCAAAGACAGACAGTGCAGCACAGCCCTCCTTGGAGACAGCTCCCTGCCTACGCCTTGACAGTGACCCACAGGCAGCCCAGCAAGGTGCCGTACATCCACGTGTTCACGTACAGTTTCCTGCCAGTCTCAGTCATAAGCATGCCCGCAGTCAAACCACTTAAGATCAATACTGATGGTAAAGTCTTCTTGATACTTAATTTGGAATTAACACTTTCCCCAGGAAACTTGTTTCTTCTTTCTGGATCTGGTGAATCATAGAATTCTATAAGCATCCTATGGCCAGAACAAAAACATTTAACATTTTGGTTTTAGTCACTTCAATATTTTAATTCAAAAAATATCCACTAGGTACTTATTTTGTACTGGAGAAGTTATGTAAGTTCTTGGAAAGTAAGAATGAAAAAGAAACACTCATAACAGAAGTTTCTAGTCTTTTAAAATATCTTCTATGCCCTATAATTAGTATATATGAATTGTATACATAATATTTTATAATAGATGGTATACACCATTTAATGAAGATGTTTTCCTTTTTAAACTTTTTTTTTTTTTTTTTTTTGAGACAGAGTCTATGTTGCCCTCAGTAGTGTGCCATGGCATCACAGCTCACAGAAACCTCAAACTCTTGGGCTTAAGTAATTCTCTTGCCTCCCAAGTAGCTGGGACTACAGGCGCCCACCACACCACCAGGCTATTATTTTGTTGTAGTTGTCATTGTTGTTTGGCAGGCCCAGGCCTCGCCAGCTCTGGTGTATGTGGCTGGCGCCCCAGCCACTGAGCTACAGGTGCTGAGCTGCCTTTTTAAACTTTTTTTTTCCCTTTCAGTTTTTAATTCAAACCTGGGCCAGGTCTGAACACCATCACCTTCAGTATATGGGGCCAGTGCCCTACTCCTTTGAGCCACAGGTACCGCTCTGCCTTTTTAAACTTTTAAGCTCACATTTTTATAAATTAGAATCTGTGGATATAGAGAGCCAACTGTATATGGAAGTTCTCAAAAAGGTACTTACTCCTATGGAATTATTAAAGCAGGTAAAAGAAGGAAAACAGCTTGGCTAATTCCTTTTCCTATTTAAAATATGTCAATTTTAACAGCAGGATATAATAGTTTCAAACACATGCCAGGTGCAGTGGCTCACACCCGTAACCCTAGCATTTTGGGAGGCCGTGTCCAGTGAACTGCCTGAGCTCATGAGTTCAAGATCAGTCTGACACTGACGCTACACCTATAGTCCCAGCTACTTGGGAGGCTGAGGCAAGAGAATCTCTTGAGCCCAAGAGTTGGAGGTTGCTGTGAGCTGTGAGACTATAGCACTCTACCAAGGGTGATATAGTGAGACTCAGTCTCAAAAAAAAAAAAAAAAGTCTTAAACACAAAAGTACAGAAAGGGGACATCCTTGATTACACCATTTTAAAACATCTAGAAGCATCCTAAATATATGCAAATACCTGTAACATAACATAAATGAGATACTAAATATAGTGTTCAATCTTTTTTCTGAGAACAGATTTTCACATCAATACACATAGATCTTAGCATTATGGGAAGCCAAGGCAGGTATATTGCTCATGTGTTCAAGAACAGCCTGAGCAAGAGCGAGCCCCTGTCTCTAACATAGCCAGGTGTTGTGGTGGGTTCCTGTAGTCCCAGCTACTTGGGAGGCCGAGGCAAAAGAATCTCTTGAGCCCAAGAGTTGGAGGTTGCGGTGAGCTAAGACTCCACGGCACTCTATCGAGAGTGACAAAGTGAGACTGTCCCAAACAAACAAAAAAACCCGATATAGGTCTTACTTTTAAATTTCTTCCTCAGCCAAGCTAGTCCTGAATAGGTGGCTTAATATGTCATAAACAATGAAAGATAGAAATTTAACATAAAGTTTCATTTCCAACTTACTACATGTTTAATAATTTTCACCTGTTAAAATTAAACCATGAGAAGGGCTAATAGTCTCCTATTAGGAGAATGAAACACTTGAGTAAAATGTTTGAATATAAATATACTTTTGAAAGTATTTTTTATATTTTTTTAAAACTAAACCATAATTTCAGTGTGGCCTTAGTAAATGGTACATCCTACAATTAATGGATACATTTTTTTCCAAAAGAGGATAAAAAACAGAGATGTTCAGAACATATCTTTCAAAAAATAGGATATACTTGAGAAAGGATGGGAAGCCAGTAAATGAATATCCTCAAGTTTTCATCCAAGAAAATATTTTCATGTAATAAAATTCCATTTGTAAATATCATATTTAAACCTAAGACTCACTGTCTATCTTCCTAAGAAAAAAAGAAAATTCTAAAATTTCATTCTTGTATGTGGTAAGAAATCAAAGATATTCTAATATACTCTACTGACTCAACCTGCTACTTCAAAGGATTCAAAAAGAAATCAAAGATATTCTAATATACTCTGACTCAACCTGCTACTTCAAAGGATTCAATGTTTAACCTCTTTAAGGGAAGCCTCATATAAAGAGGAACCCAAATATGCCTTTCATTGTGAGAGAACTTGAATTAGAAGATAAAAAAGAAACAAATATGCCTTTTAATTACTTAAAAGTAACTCTTTTTTTTTTTTTTTTTTTTTTTGTCAGTTTTTGGCCAGGGCTGGGTTTGAACCCACCATCTCCGGCATATGGGGCCGGCACCTTACTCCTTTGAGCCACAGGTGCTGCCTTTAAAAGTTACTCTTAGCAAGGTTCAATGCCTTTGTTTGCTTCAAAATGATATTAGCATGGACAAACACAAGGTAAATCCCCAAAACTGTTTAGGTCTCAAAATACTAACGAAGAAAAAAGACTTTGGTTATAAAAATGCCAACTGCCTTTTCCTTTTCCAGCAAACAGAGTAGCATCATGCCCATCTGTGTGCAGACACAATCCTCTCTTCCCAAAGCCTAGTCTTCCCGTGTGTGGCCGGCCTGACCACTGGTCCTCACACATCGCAACTGCTTCCTCTGCTTCCTCTGACCTGAGAAGGCAGTTTGGGGCATCTTACATGAGAAAGTTCTGTGTTTTTAAAAAATTTTATATCTTACCTCATAGCATTGTCCAAGAAATAATGTGTGACTTGTAAAAGTAGTGTTTAAAACATGAACAGATAAGCATAGAACAAGATTTCACTTGGGTTTATAGAAAGTATTCTTAAGAAAACAAAACTGTTTAAGTTGGTTTCAAAATGTTTACTACAGTGGAATTTTGTTGAACCAAAGTTTTTCAAGTCCTAGAACTGTTGTTACTCACTTATCTTTTATTTCAAAACGCTCATGAAGCCATCTTCTCATACATTCTTGCTGTTCTGGGACATCCTTTTTGTCTATACGATCAACGTGAATATGAACTTTTGGACATTCTTTGCAGAGAAATTCTAACAAAGAACAAAAATATTTCATTGTTTACTATTTTAGAACTCATGGTTACATAAAACAACACAATGAAAACAGGCAAAAAGGCAAAGAAAGCTTAGAAATAACTTTTTAAAGTACAAATTCTTTCCCTAGTAAAAATAAAATAAGAATTATAAACTGTGATTTTCAGTTTCAAGCTGAAGTAGAAAAACATGTTGTAGTTTCAAATCAACTACAGTTACATAAGCCATTAAGTTTAAAAACCAACTGTACCAGCTTGGCACTGTAGCTCATTAGTTATGGGACCAGCCACATACAGTGGGGCTGGATGGGGTTTGAGCCCAGCCCAGGCCAGCTAAACAACAATGATAACTACAATAAATAAATAAATAGCTGGCATGTGGCAGGTGCCTGTAGTCCAGCTACTTCAGAGGCTGAGGCAAGACAGTCGCTTAAGCCCAAGAGTTTGAGGTTGCTGTGAGCTGTGATGCCACGACACTCTATGGAGGGCAACATAGTGAGACTGTCTCAAAAAAAAAAAAAAATGAACTATACCAAATGTTATTTTTTATACATTGTTTATGAGTTCTATAGGCAGCCCTGGGATGGGAAACTGGACTCTATCCCTACTGTAAGTCTGTACTCAACCCCTCAAATGCCAACCACCACTAGACCCCTGTCTTTCTCCAGACCACCAGCTCCTCTCCCACTGTCCCAGCAGGCCAAACTCCAGAGAGCAGAGAGGGAGTCAGTCTGGTTCTCTATTTGGCTTCCTGACCTAGTAAACAACAGGACACTTATGGACACTTAATAATGCCCAGTTCCTAGGTACCTGGGCTGAAGTGACATCTTCCTGTCACTGGACGGCTACCATCACCCTGGATGAGCAATTGCCTCTCCTCTGTATCTTGGCTGTTAGTTTCTAGTTGCTGGGACTCCCTTCCTCCTTTCCTGATACTTGCTGTATCTTAACATATTATATACTTGGTTCAGGAACCAAAATTCTTACTGTGGAATAGCTATGAGCTGTTATAGTTCTTAAGACATGCTAATTTGAAAAAAAGGAGATAGTCGTTTTCAGCCTGAGCTGTACACAAGAGCTTGAGCCTGGAAACTTTCTTTCTTTGTAAGCTACTCTTTGTGGAAAGGTGAGAATATTAACACATTTGAGTTCTTTGGAGAAGAAATATTCCTAAGAGACGGAAGAGTATAAACTGTGACATAGTTTGCAATATGGAACCATTAATAGAAAAAAAATCTAACTAGATTGTATAAAATGCTTAAACAGAATATCAAGTTATCCTTAAACACACAATTTATTATGGTATACCACACACTTTAGAAATAGAATTTTGAAAAATCAGTTTTAGGCTATCTTGTCTCACTGCTACCCCAATGGACACTTTCCATGAATACAAAAACATGAACTATGAGAGAAGATGCCTAACCAGAAAGTGACCTACATGTCCCTTCAAATGAAACCTACACTACAGAAGGTGGTGAGGAGGAGGGAGACTGCTGCCTGCTTCCCTCCACAACAGGAGGCTTATTTCTGGCTCGCACCTACAGAGTTTTGGCAGCAATCTGCAGTGGAGCTGAAGCCCTCCATGCTTAACAGTCAGTCATACCAGGTAATTCTGATACCTGAGGATTATAATCCTCCTACAATGCTTTGACAAACACTTGGGCTATGGCATATAAACAACCTAGCAACTTTAAGGAAAATTTATTTTTTATTGAAACATAAATATAACTATTACATGATAGCCTACAATGCATATAGGTAACATTTAATACTAAGGAAACTTGGCCAAAATATATGTGTGTACTTAAAATATTTTAAGTTACAGAATTTTAGATACCTAACACAACTTTATCAGATTTCACATAATTTTAGGTGAATCTTAATCTATAAAAGATTATAAGTAGACCAGAATATTAACCACTTTATATTAACAATAAGAGGAGAGTTTCTCAAGCTATAAGTCACACCTCACAATTAAAATCAACACACTAAGGCTGGACACAGTGGCTCATGCCTGTAATGCTAGCACTCCGGGAGGCCAAGGCAGGTGGACTGCCTGAGCTCACAGGTTTGACACCAGCCTGAGCCAGGGTGAGACCTCGTCTCGAAAAACTAGCCAGGTGTTGTGGTGGGCACCTGTAGTCCCAGCTACTTGGGAGGCTGAGTCAAGAGAATCGCTTGAGCCCAAGAGTTTGAGGTTGCTGTGAGTTGTGACGCCACAGCACTCTACAGAGGGCAACAAAGTGAGACTCTGACTCAAAAAAAAAAAAAAACACACACTACAAGGAAAACCATGTTATTTCTAATGTGTATAGTTATATCTGTAGAACAATAACTCAGAAGTGACAATATTAAGTCCAAAATATAAACACATTTGTAAATTTGACATGTCCAAAACAACTTTTTTTTTTCTGAGACAGTACCTCACTATGTCACCCTTGCTAGAGTGCTATAGCATCACAACTCACGGCATCCTCAAACTCTTGGGCTCAAGTGATTTTCTTGGCTCAGCCTCCCAAGTTGCTGGAACCACAAGTGCCCACCCCAAATTCTGGCCAGTTTTTCCTATTTTTAGTAGACATGAGGTCTTGCTCTTGCTCAGGCTGGTCTGGAGCTCTTGAGCTCAGGCAATCCACCCACCTGGGGATTACAGGTGTGGGGCACCACACCTGGCCTACATGTCTGTTCTTTTTTTTTTTTTGAGACAGAGCCTCAAGCTGTCGCCTTGGGTAGAGTGCCATGGCATCACAGCTCACAGCGACCTCCAACTCCTGGGCTCGAGCGATTCTCCTGCCTCTGTCTCTCAAGTAGCTGGGACTGCAGGTGCCTGCCACAACGCCTGGCTATTTCTTTTTGTTGCAGCCATCATTGTTGTTTGGTGGGCCCAGGCTGGATTTGAACCCGCCAACTCAGGTGTATGTGGCTGGCGCCTTAGCTGCTTGAGCCACAGGCACCGAGCCTACATGTCTGTTCTGAAATGTAAAAACAACTAAAGGACTCTTTTAATAGTTAAAAAAGACAGAAAATATTAACATGGAAATCATTTTTATAAGAAAGTAGGGACAGTAGACTAAGAATATATATACTTAGTGTGGCGCCTGGGGCTGAGTAGGGGGCCAGCCTCATGTACCAAACCCACCAAGGGTGGTGGGTTTGAACCCAGTCCTGGCCAAACTCCAACAAAAAATAGCTGGGCGTTGTGGCAGGCACCTGTAGTCCCAGCTACTTGGGAGCCTGAGGCAAGAGAATTGCCTAAGCCCAAGAGCTGGAGGTTGCTGTGAGATGTGATGCCAGGGCACTCTACCGAGGGCGACAAAGTGAGACTCTGTCTCTACAAAAAAAAAAGAATATATACTTAAACTTGCATGTATATGACACAAGAAACTTAGAAATTTGGTCACTGTTGGAAAGGGACATGGAGAGCAGAGGGATGGGGACAGAGGGGAAAGTGAGAAAGACATTTCACCATAGACTTTATACAACTTTAATATTTAAGCTGATGCATTGTAGATTCTAAAAAATTACACTGAAAATGAAAACACCTTATTTTCCTACTTTACAATTACTCAGTGTTCAAGGCAATTATAAGAGCAATCATCTTGATATAAGCACTCCAAATTGTATAAAAATATCAACACATTATAACCCACATATGCACAAATGTATTCATGAATTATGTGTATATGACTTAATAAAAGGAAAAAAAATTAGAGCAATCAACCTCTAAATGTACCTATATCTGAGTAACCCCCTTTGGGGCCTCATAGACGCCTGGGCCTGACCCCTCCTCCCTGCTCCCTAAATTCCAATTATAGGCAGCTACTCCCTTTTTCAGTCCTAGAACTTTTCTTCTAAAGCTTGAGTGAACCTCGTCTTATTATTTAATAGATTTTTGCAACCACACTCTCACTATACTTTGAAAAAATCCCCAGCCCCTAATGAATATGAACACTATAGTTATAGATAACCTAGTGGTGCAGAGTGCTATGTCCAGACAGTGCGAGTCTAAGGGTGGACAAAATAATCTCTATCCTTGCTAACGTTAAATACCTTAATATTATTTACTTTCATAAATGCCTCACTGCTTCTAAGAATACTGTATCAAATATCCAAGGCATATCAAATTCAGAAGAATACTTCAGGAGTGCGTTTCAGTGCAAAATATGCTGGTTGTTCATATTTTGAACATCTGCCTTCAGGTGATCCTACTGACATAAACACTTTGACAAGAACACATTAGTTTAACTTCAAACACTGCCAAGATAAAATATAAACCCAGGGTTCTCTCTCTTGATGCTAGCTCAAATGGATACTTAGAAATAAGAATGTATTACACTTGGTAATTTGCCTATTTCCATGTTTAAATTTTTCTTAAATTTTGGTTATGTTTATAAACTATTCCACTCATTTAAAATTCTCTCTTTTCCTTGTTATATCTGACAAAGACAAATAATACCCCAAATGTCCTTAAAACATAGCACATTTGAAAAAAAATCACACCCAACTGTCTTACAAAAAATAATTTAGGCTTGTTCAGCTCCCATAGCACAGCGGCACCAGCCACATACACCCAGACTGATGGGTTTGTACCTGGCCCAGGCTTGCTAAACAATGACAACTGCGGCTCGGCGCCTATAGCTCAACTGGCTAAGGCTCCAGCCACATACACCTAAGGTGGCGGGTTCGAATCCCCAGCCCGGACCTGCCAAA